GAAACAATAAAAGAAATATTGGAACAAATTTTTCTTTTTTAACATTATGTAATATATCGAAAATTTGTTGAAGAAAACAAAAAAAAAAAAAAACGGAACAGAAGTGTCGTTTTTTAATAAGAAATAGGACAGACGGGAGAGTGGATGCTTGAAAAAGAATGTATTAAAGACGGAAACAATGATTAAGGGGTTAAATGAGCCTTATAAGTGGCTTAAGGGCTAAGCATTGCTTTATATTCATCAAATGCGTTTGTTGTTCTGCTTAGCGCTTCCATTTGCTTTTGCATTCTGTTGTTTCTTCTGTTAAATTTTTTTGATTTGTTCACTATAAAAATGGCAATACATTTTATTTCTGTTACTTTTCTGCTCATCAGTTCAGGTTTCTTACTTTTCTTCTAGTTTTTCTTTCCTCTTTTTTTTCGCCTTACTTGTTTTTTTTTTTTACATTTTTAACATTACAGAATTACTTTTGTTGATCATTGCAAAAAAAAAAAAAGAAATGCCGCTACCATTCCTTTTTCCTCTTCTTCTCTTTTTTTTTTGCTTTTGAATTTTCGAACATTAATATCGAATAGTTTACCTATATTAAAGCTTAGAAAAAAAAAAAGAACCAGAATATATTGAGATTAGCAACAAAAATAAGAAGAACATAATTTTTTAATCAAAATTAAAAGTTGAACAGGTTAACAGTGTTGTTAAGCAGCAAATATAATAGCAATTTAAATTGTAATTTTGCAGCTATTACTGTTGTAAATACCGCAGACGATTGTGAAGCACTTCAGGAGCCTACCGCTGGTAAATTTGGTCTTAAACATTCCGATGGTATACCGTGCCTTTTACTACATTTTACAGCAAAAATTTTTGAAAGTGAATCCAATAGCACTTGGATTGTTTGGAAGGTATGTTTTGTTGCCTAATAAATAACCATATTTAATATGTAAAATTTATTTATAAAATTTTAATTTAGCTAAGTTGCAAACAATAATTCTATAAAAATAAGCTGCTTTTTTTTTGTATGCTACAGTAGAAAATAAGTTGTTGCCTAGTTCTTTTTCTTCTAAAATATCAGGTGTTCTTTTATTCACTTGTAAACCGTTAAAATTCAGCAAAATTAGGCTTTTCTTCAGCATAATTTGCATGTAACAAACTTCTGAAATACTACTGTATAATTGAATGTTACAGTTTTTCTTTAAAACTTGGATTTCTTATCAAGTGTTAAAATCTAAACTTACTATAATTTAAAGCTAGGAAACCCAATCAACTTCCAACTTTGTTTTAGCATAGCTGCTTGTTTTAAAGCTGTATTAACTAAATAAATTTAATAAGTTGATGTGAATGTTGATTTATTCACAGTACCGAAGATAGTCTTTTATCTAAGCTGCACCTATTTTCGGTAATAATTTCAAGGAAAGATATTTGTAAATGAAAATAGAGAGTCCAAAAAGCCACTGTGCATTTTCAGAGGTATCTATAAAAGAGATATTGCTTGTAAAATTTCAAAGCGTACTCTGCTTATGTCACATTATTAAGCAAAAAATTAAGTAACTGTTAAGACTATAGTGAAAAAAAACAGTAATATTCCAGGTACCGGCTTTCACATCTGAATTAGTAACAATAACTGGAAGCTGTGCTTCAAATGACAGCAAAAAAAGTGGTGCATTGGTTGAGATCGGTTGGAGTAAAAGTGAAGATGAAGATGTGTTGTTACGACTTCGGTTTAATACAGTAAATTATCAGTATATTTTCGTTTTATTATACGAAAAACTTCAAAAAACAGTTTATTATTATATTATTTAGCTTAAAAGCAGAAGTACACAAATATTTTTACAAAAAAATTTTTTTTTATTTACTGTTAACAACTTTTTACACAGTTTTTGATAATGCATAACAATTGAACGGTTGATGTTTTAGATTAGAGCCAAATTATCAGCAAATTTTGCGGCTATTAAAGAATAAAAATAAATGTCGTTTCTTGTTTGAAATTGCTAAAAAAAGCTATTAGAAAAGCAATTAGGCTTTTTTTTGATTGTCCTCTTTGGGTTTTGGGTTTGGAGAGTTGAAAAAGTTGTGCAATGTGTACAAAAGTGCCATTATTAAACAACAACAACAAAAAAAAAGTTAAATGTTACTTTTTTCGTGTCTGATAAGTTACTAAAGAATAACTCTAAACTGTTTAATAAAAAAAAACTATCAGCAAATTAGACTGCAAAAAATTCTTTATCATCAAAGATAAAAGTAGATAACTGAACAACGCTGATGATCGTCGATCAACCAGAATTGTGCAAAAAAAATGTGCGAAAGACAGGCATTTTTTTTATAATGTCAACATTAATCTTTTAACAAATTTTTAAATGCTGCATGGAAACTTTTCAAAAGTACAAAATTATTAAAGGAGAGGAAGGAAAAATGCAGGGTGGAGGCTTATTCGATGTACCATTGCAATTTAAAACCTAAATTAACACGAAAACTAAAGCTCGCTCGTTTATTTAAATCTCAAAGTTTGGTTGCAATTCAAAGTAACCACCACTTTTGATATATGATCTCTGGTTTTTTTTTT